TCTTATTTTATATTGATATCACTGAAGCTGTTTAATAAATCAAGCCGTGATTTGATTCCGGTGGAGTTTGATGTAAGAGGAAAATGTTCTTCTTATGAGAGATTCTCATTAAACTCCTTTGAAGGAATGAAAAAAGAGGAAGATTGCTTTTGTTTCGTTTTTGTTATTAGAAAGCAAAGCAAGCGCGAAGGTTTTCAGCCAAAACTTTCGCGCATATGTTTGATGAAGACTCTATTAAATCGTTTACTGCTATTTGTGTTGAATATCAAAACCAGATTTTTTAAAAATATCTGCAGGTTCGTCACATTATTACATCTCGACATAAAAAGGGACAACTTAGATTATATCCTACAGAGTTGTATTGTAAAATGTATTATTTCTGCTACTTCGGTTAAGGGGAAGATTTCTCATTTGTATAAAATTATGTTAAAAAAGCTCCCAGAATTATTTTTCTTCTTTGAGAACAAATTGGGAATTAGAGCTTAAAAGAAAGTTCAGCGAAAAAGAATGGTTAACTTTGTGTATCAATTTGACCTTATTGAGTGTGAACATTAAAGTTAAAGAAACTAATTATACATTTCTGTATAAATACTATATGAAGCTTAATAAATTTAATGATACAAACTCTCCTACGTGTAGAAAATGTGGAATTGAATTAGGAACAGTCATGGATTTATTTTGGTATTGTAAAGCTATTTTTTCTTTTTGGGAGAAGATTCATAAAGTAATTCAAGATATGTGTAACTGCACGTTTGAGCTATGCCCTATGTTATATTTATTGAATTATGATATTGAAAATAAGTTTCCCTTTACAAAAAAAAAAATGTGTGTTTACAATGTTTTCTTATTTTGCTAAAAAATGCATACTTACTTCATGGATTTCCCAGTCAGGACCCACACTGGGTCAATGGCTGGATCAGATCTATTATTTATTAATAAAATAAATAATAGAAATATTTGTTGCCCATTAAAGACATTACAAGTACAGCATTCAAGACTGCAAGAGTTCCAAACCACATGGGCCTTAGTATTAAATTATATAGAGACTATACAATTATCAACTTAAATGGAATAATGGATAACCCACAGACTGTGTAGATTCTTCTTTTGTTTTGTTATGTGTCTTGTCGATACTTAGCGGTATTGGTGTTTTCTGTGATTGTGTTGTGTGTGTAATATGTGTTAAATTGTGAATAAAAAAAGAAAACAAAGCAAGCAAGCCCAGCCCAGATGAGAAAAAGGAACTGTAAATGCAAAAGTAATGTAATGCAATACTTAAGAAAAGAGTAACTAACAAAATTAGTTACTTTTTTTTAGGGAGTAACGCAATATTGTAAGGCATTACTTTTAAAAGTAACTTTCCCCAACACTGCAAATGAGTCCATTCTTATAAATATAACCTTTCAGGGGTTCCAATCATAGGATCATTTTATGGATTTAGTTGTTATTTTAAATTTAAAATATTTGTATTTATTTATTAAATAACTCGTTAAACATGAAAGTAGTACACAATAATTTATAATTTTATATTTAACTTTTTTTTGCATAGTGTTCTTTAAAATTAAATCATGAAGTTCTATTGAATCTTATAATCTTTATACTCCACTCTTAGAAATATGTATCATAGATATTTTAGAGATTATAAATGAATGTGGATAGCAGCCTTGGTTTTGAGGCAGTTTGCTTCGAGATCACATCTGACAAATGTACATATCATATCATAAATTTACATATCAAAAACCATGAATGTCATGCATGAATTTCAAATTTCCATTGCATTGACATCAAACATCATCACAGTGTTTTTGTAAAAGTACAGACCAGGGCCCGTATGTATAAAACTTCTAAGAAATGCTCTTAAGAATAGTCTTAAGCTTTGACTTAAGTGTAAAAAAATACTTAGTAAAAAGTAGGACTTCTCTAAGAGTAAGATACTTTTATAAAGCAGCTAAAAGCAACTTTCAGTAAAGTATAAGACTGATTCTTAAGTGCTGACTGAAGTGGGACTTAAGTGCTGCAAACTAAGGACTACAATGATGTTAACCCAAAATGGCCGCCCTAAACCTCTGAATCAGCCAATAGTGAGCCTGCAAGGGTGAGGTCACTGCAGCATGACACCAAACATTTAATGTAATTATAACAAAATAATTTAATTAAGACACTGAAACTTTAATATTTAAATGTATTTTTTTAATTGCTTTTGCATTGTGCAAAATTATCACAAATTAGAATTGAAGGAAAATGGTCAGATTCACCCTTTATTCAAATAGTATTAAAAATGTGTTAAATATTTTGTAAGCGTATTGTGTTGTTGTGCCTGGAGTCAATTGTTTATTTATGATAACACAATGAAACATTCCAAATTGTACAGACATAATTTTTAGCCAGGCTTTCAAACAAATAAATTATGAACAGGTGAAAAAACAAGAGAGGATAATGAAATATTAAGAAATGATTATGTTGCAGACAATGTTTTTTTTTTCTCCTGTGAGCTTTTTAATTTTTCTAAAAACCTGTAGCTGTAGTTTGCCCTTATTTGTCACTTAATATTTAAAAATAATATTGATCTGCCTGCATTGACACCATTATATGAGAACTGAACTGAGCTGGATGATGACATCACTGTTTTCACCAGAGCGGCTGTAGAGATAAATGAACTAAATAGATAACTAATGATTTTTTACAATGGAAATGAATGCTTTAGCTTAAGTTCTGCCAGGAAGACTAATATACCTCCCTCATACCTCCCTGGGGTCGGCTGCGCTCCGCCTGCGTCTTCAGGCAGTAAAAACAGATTGCGTTACCCTCTGATTGCGAGCTACGCAACAGAACTTTATAACACAATTCTTGCTTGCTGGGCTGTTAATAAACTTTGTCACGTCATTTTGCCTCCCAAGTCTTTCTGGTTGAAATTAATAAACACTGAATTTACTTAAGCAGGACAATGACACTATTTTCTTCTAGAGCTGCTGTACAGCCAAGACTAACTTTGTTGCATTATTTTCGTGTAATCTCTGTAAAGCTGCTTTGAAACAATCTGTATTGTAAAAAGCACCATAGAAATAAAGGTGACTTGAAATAATTTTGTCAGATAAATACTTTCACTAAGTTTAGTGTTATGTTCTTCCCTCACATTTTAAAATATTAAAAGATATATAAATATAAAAATATTTTCCTCATAATTTGATGGTTTAAGCAAACTTGTAGGGTCATTAAAAAGATAAAAAAAAACTCTGCAAATCTTTTGGCCACCACTGTATATTTGGTGTGGTCAGTGTCACAATAGTGCTATTCAAGAGCCTACTAACTGTGGACTGAAGGGCCCGAGTCATCACAGGTGCACTGCTGAATTCCAGTCGCCAAAAATATAAATAATACTTTAATTTCATTGCTATAAAACTTTTTTAAAAGGTAAGTTACAAAAAGAATACCTTGATGATTAAACTTTTTTATCGTTTGATCAACTCATTTTACTACAATACATCATATTTTCGTTGAAAAGTGCATGGCCTAATCTCTCTGCTGCCATCTTGTTACTCCTAACTAGGTTAGGAGACCTCTCCAGCTCTCTTAAATAATTTAGGAGCTGAGACCAAGTCTTAACACTTAGGAACCTTTATGAATCACACTTACTCTTAAGTTTAGGAATAAGAGTAAAATTATGTAATTTTTAGAATTTTGACAGACTTGAGACTAAAATTTTACTCTGAGTGGCTTTATTCATACGGGCCCTGGTTATCATTGAAACTTGGGCTCATTTGACTTTGGCCATAGCAACGCCCTGGCAACCACCTCATCATTTTGCCAGTGAGTTTTGTGCAGAAAAACACCACCATTATTTTACTTGAAAACTGTAAAAAACATTAAATATGTTGGACTCATTTGTTTTTTGTGACTCTGCTAATGTGTCGTTTATCTGCTTTCTAGTCAAAACAGTGTTGTTATTGTTAAGAAAAGCTTAAACTACTAAAAATGAACTGAAATCAAGAGAAAATAAAATATAAATATTAGATGAAAAACTTACTTAAACTGGGATGAAAATTAGAGGTGTTGTCTTGGGGAAACTAAATGAAATGCACAAGTTTGAGTTGAAGAACTAAAATGACAAAATCTGAAATGAAAATGATAGCAAAAGTAAACTAAAATTATAACGAAAGCTCAAAAAATAAATAATCGTATTCAAAAATATTATGATAGCATCACTGTAAAAAAAAATTGCTGCCTTACATTTTTAAGTACAATCAACTTGGATGTTTAAGTCGTTTCAACTTAGATTACATTAAACTGACTTTAAAAAATGAGTCGAATCTTGTATAACTTGGATGAAAGATGAATATCACTGATTTTAACGAGTTAAAGCTATGTAAAAACGTATTACTCATATCATTTTTACAGTGTATAATAATACTGAGTCAAACAATAATAAAAGATTGCGGTTTTTTTTTTTTGTGTGTGTGTGTGCATCAAACAAGCCCTATACTTTCCGGTTGATGACGAACAGAAGTGGGGAAATTATTTTCTCAGGTCACGTCGCGGGTCGATTTACCCTCAAACTCTCTCGTCTGTGGCTAATCTCAAACATCCGTGTGTTCTGCTGTCCTTCTTCCCCGTGTGCTGCTGATTGCAAGCGATGCCCGATGTGTGTAATTTCGTTTAGCGACTGCTTTGATAGACACAGTAATTGACCAAAGTGCTGAAAGCTCGGACTGACTGAGCGGTGTGTGTTATTACACCCGTGCTTCTGGTCAGGCACGTCACATACACACATCCTAATGCAGATCCCGGTGTGAAAGTCCACCTGATTTGATTTCACACACTATAATCTGATCTCAGACAACCACTAGAGAAATTAAAAACGCATGTGGGTGTGTGTGAGAGAATCAATCAATCGCAGAGTAGATGTGAAAGTGGATTAAGGTGCTTTGCAAACAGCCACACAATCTGAGGTTTCTTCTTGAACTCATTATGTGTGTCTAATGGTGTGTATCTTGTGTTTTCAGTGGTAACGTGACTCACGTCGTGTCTGAGGGAAACGCAGCGCAGGATCTCTGGCACTGGTTGGAGGAGCAGGGATTTGGAGAGACACCAGACACACACGTGCTGGATGTCAGCTGGTTTACTGAGAGCATGAGCGCTGGACGGCCTGTGCCTGTGGAACTGAGACATTACATACAAGTAAGTGCACTTCAGAGAACACATGTGGTGCTTCTCAATATCCCTCGCTTTTCCTCGCTCATCAGTCCTCCATCCGACGACCCGGAAGCCGATCGAGCTACACTGCAAAAAATGCTTTTCTTACTTAGTATTTTTGTCTTGTTTTCAGTCCAAATATCAAAAAATTCTTTAAATGAAGATGCATTTACTTAAGGGTGTGTGATTTTTAGCGGCAACTAGTGGTAAGGTTGCGAATTGCACCCAACAGGTGGCCGACAGGAAGTGATGTCGTCGTCTGAGACAGCAGAGAGCAGAGATATTCATAGTAACTGCACCTAATTTTATACAATTTAAATTTGAGATTTGTCAGTATCTTAAAACATTGGAGGGTGTAAGGAACACCAAGGCAAAAAAGACTATAGACTGTTGTAAAGCCTTGAAATGTTATCCTTTTTAAGGGCCTTTATTATTTTGTAATTAAAGAAATGTATCTGATTTCAATACCCCTATGTATATAGTTTTCTATATATTTTGTTGTTGTGTTTTTGTATTATTATTATTGTTTTGTATTTAATTATTGTATGTTTTGTTATTGAATAAAGCATTTAAAAAAAAAAAAAAAAAAAAAAAAAAAGAGATATTCATAGTAAAGGCTAGATGTCTCGTCCGCGCTGCTGGCCAATGGAGGTCGACGTCCGCACCTGGCGGCCATCTTGCCACAGGCAGCTCGCTCACTCGTGACATTGTGTTTTAATGGTGCATGTACTTTTTAAATAACCATAACTTGCTCAATTTTCTACCGATTTTCAAACGGTTCGTTTTGTTATAAACGTCAGAGATGTAGTTATGACACTGCATACTTATGAATAATAAGTGTATAAATAAATAATCATCCAGAATTATAGCCAGGTTAATAACGTTTGTAAGAAACCGAACCGTTTGTAAATCCGTCAAGATTTCGACGAGATAAGAGTATTTGTGTTCGTGCCGATCACTCATCTTACATCAGGCCCGCCAGAAAGCTTGCCTGTGACAAGATGGCCGCCGGTGTTGACGATAGAGACTCCGCCGTAAGACATCTAGCCTTTATTATGGAGATCTGTGGCAGTGAGGACCCAGTTCTTTACAAAGATAAATTAAGAAATTAGGTTTACTTAATTACTCAGTAAAACGATATGTTATTGCGAATATCATTGTTACTTGTTCATCATTGTGTCAGTGTTTTATTCGCTGACTTTAGCATCTTCTTATCATGAAGAACAACACAGTGACGAAGCGCGTTTGTCCGTTTAGGGCCACCGTAGAAACATGTCGATGTAAGCAGACCAGCGGTGTGTGTAGATAGAAATGCCTCATTATAAGGTAATAAAAACATAACTGTTCATTATGTAAGGTCTTTATACACCACTGAAAACATATGATATTGCATTTCTGTCAACAGATCCTCCTAAATATTACACAATGCACCTTTAAGTAGTATAATGCCATAAGATTTTATGTCTTGTTTTCTGGGGGAATAAATACAAAATAAGTGAGTTTTTGCTTAAAACACGTAAAGTTATCTGCCAATGGGGTTAAGAAAAATACTCTGGTTTCTGTTTGAATTAAGATTATTTTTCTCACCGCATTGGCAGATCATTTTTCTTGTTTTAAGCTAAAACTCACTTAATTTTGATTAATTCCCCCGGAAAACAAGACATAAAATCTTATGGCATTTTACTCATCTAATAAATGCATCATGATTTAAGAATTTTTAGATATTTGGACTGGAAACAAGACAAAAATACTGAGTAAGAAAAGCTTTTTTTGCAGTGTGCTGACACACGTATACATTCTCAATCATTTTAATTTATGCTTTACCTTTAGTTTGCAGTTTAAATAAATCATACAGCACACATATATCAACAGGGCATCTTGCTTTAGCTTTATTATTTATTAATTTCTTAAATAACCAAACTTTAACAACATAAGTGTAGATCCTTTGAGCGCAGTGAAGTGATGTTTGAGTGATCAAGAATATTACAATATACAAAAAAGCTTTCCTTCGATTCATTTTCTTCCCTCACAACATGAGTCAGATGCCGAAAGCTTTTCTGATTGGCTAAAAAAAAAAGGCGCCTCCTTATGACATCACGCCCTTATAGACATGCCCATCTGGAGGACCAAACAAGGGCCCTGTCCCAAATGGCGCACTTCATGCGTACTTTCGGTCTCGTGGACTTAAATTGCGCGCGCTCGCCGAGTCTACGAGTCCGTAGGCCGTCCCACTTAGCATTTTAACGCTCTGAAGTGTGCTCAGCAGCGCCCCCTGTGTACCCTTGAAGCGGTCTTCCACGAAGCCCACATAGATGCAGGCTCCACGCACTTTAACTACCCAGGAATCCTTGCGAAAGGCCAATCAGACAACGGATGGGAGGAGATTTCGCTCACGGACAATTGTTAACATGGCTGAGAAGAAAATATTTAAGTGTAATTATCATTACGGTTTTTATGACAAGTTTATACAAACATTATGATCATCGACCAGTGGTTGATGTCTCAAACATAGGCTAATAATAGCGAGCTGAATAATACGATCGCATTATTCATTAATTATTCATTAAATAAATAGAACAGAATGTCAGGGCTTTACTGAGTCATATGTAAACACAACAACAATAGGCCGCATATTTCCCCGAACCTGTAGCTCCTGTCCATAACAACAACCAGACCGTCTTCCTGTTTCCGGCGTGACGATCGAGTCTGTCCCAAAAATACCTCTCAATGCGCCCTCGCGGACTCGCGCTAAGGGCCCTATAGGTCTGCACTACATGACGTCACTGAAGTGTGGACTCTGAGGAAGTCAACAAGTCCGGAGTGTGCCATTTGGGACAGGGCCAAGGTCTGTGTCTGAAATGGCCCACTATACCCTTAAAGTCCCCCTGTGGTGAAAATCCAGCTTTTAATGTTGTTTATATGTCTATGTGGTGTTTTTAATATGCTTTAAGACAAACCATGTGTAAATTCATAAGTCTAATGACTTTTCAGTATTCTTGAATTTTTGTCCAGTAGAAATATCTAAATGTCTTTAAAACAAGATATATATACTCGATACGTGATATTCATACTTATTTCATAGAATTAGTATCATATTTGGTGTAATTTGTCACCTTTTTAATAATAATGAAATATGAGGTCTGTAACTTTATTTTTGTCAAATTTTTGGAACTGTAAAGTTGTTTAAATCTTCATTTTACCGTTTAGGATGCAACATGTTTCCGATTTGTCGTTTCAAAAGAATAGTTTTCTGTTTTTAGCAGTTTCATGTGCAAAAAGTCCCATAGATCTTAAATCTTAAATTCTATTATTTTGGGGGTGATTCTGTCCCCGAGCACTGGGTGGCGCTGTAGAGCCACCCAGAGATAATAGAGATATAACCATATCTTTATTAGACCTTAAGGTTAAAATTCAAGAGCAGGGTAATAGTAGATCAAATATAATGTGTAACAGCTTCTTGTACTAAAGCGTTTCAGAACATGCAATTGCCTTCATGACCAGCAAACGCTCATTTTTACCTCCAAATTGTTCTTTTATCTCCAAAAAAGCATTTTTTTTAAATCTCCAAAAGCATTTTCACCCATGCATTGAGTTCTTGGAGCTTGAATGCGCCTAAATTACATTCCTATAGAAAGCAACTTCACAGCCACTTTGGGAAATAATAGAAAAGGACATTGCATTTCACATGTTGTGTTGGTTGCAAAAGCACATTTCATAAAACGGAAAGGCCAGCGTCCCGACAGCCTCAGAGTGATGTTTAATACAGCGCCAGATAGAGGCATCAGCGCGACGCCGGGCCTCGTAGCGCACCGCTAACTGACGCTGAAGACTGATTCTCCACCCCTGGACAACGCCGTGGGCGCCTCCACAGCATATGTGCCCCACATAAAGAAATATGCTGCCTGTTGGAGAACCTCCATTAATCTCTCTTCTCCTCCTCAGTGGGGACGCAGACGAGCAGAGGTTGTCCATCTTGCGTAGCCGCTAACCGTGCTCGTCTCGGAGGAGGACGTATGACTGTGATCTTGAGTTTCCCTCTTATAGCCAGAAAATGTCTTGTTTGCTTTTAGCCGGCATTGATTGAGGCGTTTAGCATCGAGCGGCTTTGATTGATATGAATATAAGAGCCGGGTAATGATGCAGAAGACAATAATTGATCTGCGACAATAGTGAGACTTCTGTCACGTCATTCCAGACTAGTTTTTCTGTGAAGAAATTTCAAATTTGCATGCAAAATCTTCATGCAGGTCTTTTCCACATAGTTTTTTCACATAGTGATGAAGTGATGTGGTGCTTTGTGAGAAGAGTAATGGTGCCGTTAGATGGATCACCGCAGGTTTGATGTCTTTGACAGTTTGACACTGAACACCATTGATTCTCGTGTGTCAGATGAAAAACACGACTATAAAAGTGAGATTTGAGATTATCAGTGAATGACTTAAACTTGGGGCTTTTTCTCATGCAAGCAATCAGAGTATATAGCGACATCTTTCACACTTTCATGGTAGTTTTTAGTCTTTTTGCAGAATAAATCACCATCCATTTCTTTTGTCTTTGACAAGTGTGAGAACATTTTTCATTTTTGGTGTGAACCAGACAGTGTTACTAATTACATTTACATTTGTGCATTTGGCATATGCTTTAAAGTCCCCCTCAATAATTTTGTCCCTTAAAACTCATCTTTGACTTTGTTTACCAAAATGACGTTTTCTCGTAGAGATCCACTCGTTGACGATCACACATTGATCTGATTGGTTAAGGTAGTTTGTGACATCGGGTGGTTGCTTGTGCATTACTATGTCATTTTATTTTTATGCTGGGTGTTGCTAAGGTGTTGCTATGCAGTTGCTAGGTTGTTCTGGCTGGTTGCTAGGGTTCCTCCTTCAGCACGACAAGCAATAACTTGTTTTGGCAAACACCACTGACAACAGTATCTGTTTTGCACAGACGTTGTTATTATTATTGTTTACATTTATGCATTTGAC